CGTTACCGCAAGAAGACGGTGAAGCAAGGAGCAGGACGGGAGTTGAACTACCAGAAGGCGAGCCCGGAGCTTAAGAAAGGCCTTGACGCCAGTCGACAGAAGGAGTGGAGCAACTGGCAGAAGTACACCAACATGCAGAAGATTACCAAGGACGAGTTCAACGAGATGAAGCGGCAGGACAGCACCCTGCGCATCATTCCCACTAGGTGGGTTGACACCGACAAGGCCGAAGCCGGCCAACCTCAGAAGTTGAAGAGCCGCTTTGTTGTCAGGGGCGACCTGGAGGATTCGAGTTCTATGCGGACCGACTCGCCAACGGGCTCACAGGTCGCCATGGGCATCCTTCTGAGCTATGGCGCGGCCACGCGCAAGACGATCAAGTCGGGCGACATCTCGGCGGCCTTCCTTCAAGGGTCTGAACTGGACCGCAAGCTCATTTTGAGCATGCCGAAGGGCGCGCCTCCCGAGGGCATGGAGGAGGATGACTTGGTGATTGTTTCCACCACGGTGTACGGAACCAAGGATGCACCGCGGGGCTGGTTCAAGAACTTGGACACCACGCTGCGCGGGTACCAGCTGCGCCGCGTCCCTCTGGAGCCGGGCTTCTACGTGCTCAATGGACACACCGAGGACCACGGCGACTATGACTATGTGAAGGGACTGCTTTTGGTGCATGTCGATGACCTGCTGTGGGTTGGCGACAACGACATGGAGGACGTGATGAGAAAGGTGCAGCAACAGTACCGCTTTGGTTCGACCGACGAAGCCAGCTTCAAATTTTGTGGCAGATGGCTGAAACAAGACACCAATGGCATCGAGGTCAGCTGCCCTGACTTGATCACTCGGGTCAGACCGGTGCACCTGGAACCTCGACGACGAGGTCAGCGAGACACCGCGGCCACCGAACAGGAAAGGTCGCAGCTACGTTCGGTGGTTGGTTCTTTGAACTGGTTAGTGCGTGTGTGCCGGCCCGACCTGGCATACTCTGTGGCACGACTGCAGACGGCCGTTAGCAAACCGCTCGTCCAGGACCTGCTGGACGCAAACAACCTGGTGAAGTACGCGGCCAAAACCCGACACCGGGGCATCCTCTACCCAGCCGGCAAGTTGAACTTCAAGGACCTCGCTCTTATCGCGGTCCAGGATGCTTCCTATGCTGCGGACTACGACACCAGTGCCTCTGGGCGAAAACTTGGCTACAGAAGCCAAAGTGGGCGCGTACTTTGTCTGGCAAGCCGGGACTACTTGGACAACCTCGAGGGCCACCTTTACCCGATCGAGTGGCACTCGACTGTCATCCGGAGAGTGTGCAAGTCCACATTACAAGCAGAAAGTCTTTCGCTTCAACTTGGGGCAGCCGAAGCTGAGCACGCGCGAGCTGTGCTCCACGGCCTTCTCGAGCCGGGCGGCAAGATGGATGCTACCGCGTGGACCATGGCTGCTCAGGACCGCACACCTGTGGTTTGGGTCACGGACTGCATGAGCCTTAAGGAGCACCTTTTGTGCCCATCCTCGACCACCGTAAGTGACAAACGACTGGCCATCGACCTCAGCTCCTTACGGCAAGAACTCTGGCGTGAAGATGGCCAAGATGTCGGGGATCCTCTGTTCCGTGATTTTCCTCCGGAAGATGCCAAGACCCAGATCCTGTGGACTTCCACGGATCGGATGCTAGCGGATGCGCTAACCAAGCGTATCTCGGAGCATGGACCGCTTTTAACCATGATGTCGGGTGAGGCGGTCAGCTTGCAGCCGACAACTGATCATAAAAATAGTACGGGTGTGAAAGTAGAGGCTTTAGCTGCAGACGCTTGATCAGTTACGGTACGCAAGCTCGAACCCTTGACACGCCACTTGTTGGCTCAAGCTACTGCGCAAAACATCGCGACATGCTTTGCACCTGCATCAGCCTGCCTTCAGATTTAGAGCGTTACCTACCATAACACCCTGTAGGGACGTAATACAAATTCTTATATAACTTGTCGGGAGCCCACAATTGAAGAGAAGGTTATGGTAGTCTGAGTCATACACAAAGCCGGAATTCAGGGAGCGGAATCAATCCCTAAGCCGCTAACCCCTAACCTCAAGCCCGTAATCGGGCCCATCGCCACCGTTGACTCTACAGCCAGCTCATTCTACATGGTGTAAGGGTCGGAGTATTTACTAAAGTACTATTCCTCCGGGTTCTGCAGTAAGTTAATAGTATAGTATACCCCAGAATTCTAGTAAATTTCAGCCCGTCCTTTATTCTGGTGGAGAGCGTTTGCGGGAATGGCTCTGAAGCAGGGTTGCTCAAGAAGCTCATAGAAGTGAAGTGGGTCCAGGGATCAGGTTTACAGTTTACAGTATCAGGACCCGGTGTAATTAGCGACCGGTGTTTGCTTTACTGAACTTGCGGTCTATCTAGTGTAGGGTGAAAAAATGCTGCGAGACCAGCATACTCGAGAAACATGACCCCAATCGTGCCGAACCAGATGAATTCCAGTACGACCAGGTCACCCAAGCCAGTAAGTAACAGTGTTGCACATGTTGAGTGCAGGTTGTGACACTTGTTAGGAGTGTTTGAGGGGCAAGCAGGGCTGGAGGGATGCAATTAGTCGTGGGACAGAGATTTCGTGAGTTTCATGTAGAGTGTACTCGTGACCATTCGTGTGCATCGGGTCCAGCCGATTGCCAGGCGCCGCATGGGTGCGAACCAAGCTGACCTTCGCTCAGGCAAGACAGACTCCTGCACTGTATTCCGGGGAGCAGCTGCAAGCTTTTCGTTGGGGTGCTGCTCAAGGGTCCAGCCAACTGCATCCAGAATCTGCGAGGGTCTTCAAGGCATCGTGTTCTCAAAATAAGGAATCCGCTGCTTGCAGTTTGCATGCTTGTGCGGATGCCGGCATGCTCGGTGTTGTGCGTTTCAGTTCTGCCCCTGGAAACTAACGGGTTCAACTGTATGCAGCAGAGTGGTCTTCGTGCCGAATTCCAAAAACTTGGCCATGACATCTCCTCAACTTAAAAGCTTTGGTAGCTGCCACATTGACATGGCTGCACGAGTACTGTCGTTGCCTCCCCCATGCCGCAATGAGTTCGCTGATTCTGCGAATGCCTCTGCTTGCGCTACTTTCTTTGTTCTCAACTTTCTGCGCGCTCTTTGCTTGCCGCACAGTCTTGGAAATATCAGTGCTTGATCTGCCTCCGCCAGGCCTGGTGCCCGTGAACATCCTGGCTGAGTAATCCGCAGGTTGGCTTCGCTGCCTATGCGTGAGACGCATGGAGGGCCATGCTGGGAAGAAGCACTTGAGCCCCACGATCTTCTGAGGCCCGGGTGAAGGCAAGTCTCCGTCCTCCGTTTCGGTCTGATGAGGGTGGAGGCAGGTGCCCTCGATACCACGCATGGCCTTCGAACTTCGCAATCATCGTTCGCGCTTCCACGGCCTGACTGTACCAACTTGATGTGAAGTCACGAAGGCTCCTTCGCGCGGTGCAGAGAAGGGCAACGTGACAGGGTGAACACGGTAGAAAAGACAGGCTTGAGGGGAAGGCGGCGATTCAGAAGTGTCCCTGAGAGGAGCACGCCGCAGCATCCCCAAGCAGTTATTCTCAGAGGCTGCTGCAGCATGCTGTGACTGTTAAGGGATCGGGTTCTTCCGTTCTCAGAGAAGGGTGTCTGCAACCGGAGAAGCATGCCCTGAAGCTCAAACGACAGTGCTACCATGGCACCCATTGGACGACACTGCTGGGCAAGGCGGCACGGCTTGGTTTTCTTCGGGCACTCTCGGCCTATGGACTCCGCAGCAGACGCACTTAGTGGACATGTCTAGGACTTTCTGACGTCCAAGGTCCGCCTTTGCGTAGGGGCCCTGAAGACCGCAGCACTAGCTGTTGGACAGGGTCGGGTGCAGTCCAGGCTTCATTGCACGGCCTCTGCATGTGACAGCCCTGCCTTGACTGAGGGAGCTTAACTTGGCGACGACCACTCCCGACCGAGCGGACCCCACGACTCGTCTGAAGGCTTTAGTTTACCGTTACCTTGCGGCGCTCTGAGCCGTCTCTACGCAAGC